TTTTAAAGAAAATTAAGTTTGATAATTTACCAAAACCGCTGATAAATGTAAACTGTTATTATCTATTGCATAAAGATAAAAGAGTGTCTAATGCAAAGACGTGCACCACCACCACGGCATCACGTGACTTCTATTAATAGCGAAATTTTCCTTAGTGAAAAAGCTAACAGAACAACAATACCCCGAAGTGTAATAATTTCTTTGAGTAAATAATATAGTTGGAAAACATCTATTTTGCCTAAAAAGTGCTGCTAGAATCCCACTGTCCCGTCAGTCAAATAATAATTCCACACATTCGCACGAAACCTTACCCGATGTTTTGAATTTTATACATATAAACCGAGATTTTTCGTAAAACCATGCTTAACTCGGGATTCTAGCAGCACTTTCCAAGTATTTTAGGAGGGAAACTTTCCATCTGTACAAATCTTATGTTTTGAAATATACAGCTTATTGTTGTTCTGCTGCATTATTTTTGTCACAAATGACAGAGGAAAGGCCGACCGGGATACGTATATAGCTGACTGTCTTCGAAGAGAATACAATCGATGAAAATAAATTAGCATACCTGTTTTAGTAACTGAACTCCATATGAATTTCACAAAATATTCAGAATATTTGCTTTTAAACTTCATTTTACGTATCTTTGTACATGCCGTCTTAGCCAAATTCTCTTTACACGACATGATCAATTCCCAAGTTACTTGAAGTACACATATGACGTCATCGGTGGTAGATTTTAATCAAAATGACAGATACAGCATAACAAAATAAAAAAATTTTATTTTTGTTAATGTTTACACGTTTCTATTCATTTTCTAGAGTTAAATTACATCTCTAAATACGAATATTACGAAAACTTGTATTCTAAAATTGACGTCATCTCGCCTACTATGACGTCATAATGTAGCACCGATTAAGTCAAGGTAGAATATTTTGTATGCTTCCTTATTACCCCTGCGTATGACGAAGATTGTATTTAATTTTACGGAGCGCCAAATAAATATTTAATCTGAACTTAAAATATTTATAACTATTTGAAGATATCTTTAATTTGATATTGTGCACAATGATGGAATTGACGTGTGCATCAAAGAAATTAATGCCTTCATCAATTCAATTGATGCACGAAACAATGAAGGGATATTATTGCCCGAAAAGATTAATTTATATAGAGCTATTATAAATGATTTGTTGATATCTGAATGTAATTGAGCAGATATTTACAACTTTTCTTTTTGAAGAATTAATGCATGCGTCAATCATTTAAATGAAACTAACAGTTAAAAGATCAATGAATTATGCGGATATGTTGAATTGAACGGGACTGTAGCTCTAATGGTTTTCACTCATATCGGAAATTCGGCTTATTAATTAAGCAAGTTGCTCTCTCAAAGAAGCAATTTTGCTTCTTTGATAGAGCAAAGAAGAATGTTAAATACGTTAAAACGCTAAATAAGCAAGTTGCTCTCTCAAAGAATTATTGCGGGCATCAATTAATGATAATATCTTCCGATAGATGATAATGCTCTATAATAATGTACTTCTTGGACGACCAACTCTCACAGTCCTGTCCGTAAAAGGCCCGTAGGAAGCAATTTCAGTTGGGGGAGGGGAACCAAATTTTCAGTTTGAGGGCACTACCAAACATTCCATGACAAGCAAAAAAAAAAAAAAAAAAAGAATGAAAGAAAAGATTATCAGACGTTATTATTGAGGGGGCACAAGGAAATGTTTATTATATGAATATTTTAATTAGCACCTGATACATTGAAATATATAAATGTATATTTCAAACAAAAATAAAATATTTATTTATTTGTTTATTCATTCATTTATTCATTTACTTATTTATTTATTCATTTAATATTTTTTTTTACATAGTAGAAAGGTTATCATAGAATGCAAATTTCCTGATCTTGCATATACACTTTCTTACATACAATCAATTTCGGAGACAATGTGTTGAACTACATACATGTATATATTTTTCTATATAACCTGTAGGTGCTGTAGGGATAGATGCCAGAAAGCCTAAAACCCTACATACTAGCTGTCAAGAAACACACTTGCCTCTATTAAAGGATATTTTTTCAACAGCGTTTAATTCCAAGGATTTGTACGAAATCTTTCCATTGAAAAAGAATTAAGATGAAGCTATGACTATTATGTGTAGATAACCTTATAATGAGGATCACGTGCAGCCTACAATGCCCATTTTATTTAAAACTTCATTACTTTACAAGCAGAATGTTACACCTGTAGATCTAAGAGTACATGTCACACACTGTAGTACTGCGAACTAATTAATCAAAGCAAGAATAAAGTGATCCAATGGGACTCTTTCGGATAAAGAACAGTTAAAAAACTTTAAAAGTTAGACCCTAATCTTCTCATAATCTTTTAAACACAAAATATCACTTCAGATATTGAAAAATGTAACGTATTAATTATGATTATGAGCGTTGGTCAGTGAGGAGACTATGTTATTAACAACTACAGCTACAAAGCTACACAAATGTTAACTGTTGATAGAAAGTGACCGGAACACAGAGGAGGTAAACGTCAAAAATGGGGGAGATATCCACCACCGGCTTTAAGTATCTCTCCATCCACAAAAAATTGGAAGTAGAGTTAGATAAGAATGTGAAGAAGATAAATCGCGAAGTGATGAAGCGCCGACACTCGCTGTTTCTGGAGACAGAAAGTGTTCGACAAGACATGCAGGAAATGACGAAAGCTGCCCAGGAAATTGACACAATATTTGGACCAGGATTCACAGATGAAATGGCCAGAAAAATGTTTTCGTCTAAAAACGGACGTTTAGATACGGAGGAAGAGGCGTCAAAGACAACGTCATATACACTGATTCAGGCAAGAAACGCCATGAAAGAACTCAAGAAACGAAAGAAGAAAGATAAATTTCTGCAAACCAAAATGAATCACATACGTAGGAAAAGTATCGCTAAAAATGCCAAGAGACTGTCCAAAGCTTACGAAGATGATGATAAAGATCTCGCAATGATGATTGATTCTTTAAAAAATTTAACTATTTTTGGAAGAAAAGCAGATACAGGTCAAGTTTCGCTTCCCCATGTTACAATGTCCGACAATCAAAGTGACATTGGATGTAAACAACCTCGTTTTGGTGCGTCCAAATTATCACAACGCTGGAAAACCCTCAAAATAAGTAGAGAACTCTCCCTACCCGTCATTTCGAAAGGCCGTAATCAAGTGATCAAGATTCCAACAATGAGCAGTGATGATGAGCAGTCAGAAGACAGGCATCCTGCCACTGACCGACCTAAAATGCCAGCAAGAAATAGTTTTGATCTTTCCACGTTACCAGCAATCTCACTTGGGAAACAAAAACTAGAAAAAGGAGAAGTTCCATTAAAATCAGACAGAAGTGATGATAAAAAAGAGACTGAACATGAAGGAAAGGAAAATTCAGGATTCACTATTAGTAAATATCTCTCCGAAGTGCATGGCAACTTACCCAAAGAGACGCTTCTGGAGATAGAGAGAATGGTCAAGGAGGAGTCATTCTTTTTGTAAACTATTTGAACATGTCATTCAATCACGTCTAGTTTTTTTTCTCTCATTATATTGTTGCTATTTCTATTTTTTTATTTTATCATATTAAAAAGTTACAACCAAAGACAATTCTGCAGTTCTATTATCCTGTTGACCTATATACATGTATTTGGAAGGACGAAACTAATGGAATATCAAACCTCGAATTTGTTTCTCAGCGTCTGTGTTTCATCTAAAAAGAATGTCACTTATTATTATTTATTTATTGCTTAAGATATACATCTTTTAAATCATTTCAACAATAACATATACATGTACATGTAATACAAAATATTACATAATGGCATTGTATGGTGGTTTTTGTAGATTACAAATATATAATACAATCTAATAAAAATGGTTTTCATGGAGTATTACATTGTAGGAGAAAACATTCTCTCTGCTTAAAAGCATAATGAATATATTTTCCCCTAAATTACAAGGATCATGAGTGAAAAATTCTGATGGAAATTACGTTAAACAACAAACAAACAAAGACATGGACGGTGTGATCAAATGATTGAATATGTTATTTACATGTATTGATTAATATCATGTCCTCGGTGATCATAATTATTGTTACCAGAATAATTATTGGGGGGGGGGGGTAAGTTCATGGATTTCATGGGTCACCCTTACATGCACCCACGAACTTACATGTATATCCCATGCACGAACGAACTCTGTCTTAGTATCGATTTATTTCATCTTTGTTTATAGCGTTGCCCACGAAACTATGTCCCCAAAAACCAGTTAAACCATAGCTACCATCGAATTAAAATGATTCCTCCACAGAATACATTATCAAAAAAGTTTTGTGTTGGACCGCATAATGCAATACCATATCTCCATTATTCAAATTAGATAATTAATTACTATAGGAAAGAAAATGCATAATATATAATTTCTTTTCACCTGCTTGAATGAACATCTTTAATCGAAAGGTTGATATTACATTTATTAACTTTCCTAATTTATTGAAAATTCATACGCATCAAATTTCATACTCAATCAGGAATGTTTACGCTCGCACCTGTTGCTCTGGTGTGTCGATCATTGCAGAGACAATACGTTTATTGTAACGAATGGTTACTCGTCCCTTTCTTTTATACAATTCCATTGAGATCCTCTCAGCTATAACTCTCTTATTCCATTCTGTTCATATTCTACAGGCATATCAAATAACAAACTCAGTCAAAAGAAGCTAACGTTTTTTGTATTGCTACTATAGAAATAAAATATTGTGTATTGAAAAATGTAATGTTCGAGATATGATACTAATTCCACTAATCAACCTAATTATTTTGCGGTTTAAGTCTTCAAAATCAGTTAATTTTGAAGCGTCAGTTCAGAAGGAACTAGACTTTAGAGAAAGTGGTCTGATGACGATTTAGAGAATAAGAGTGACTTTCAGAATCGACACAATGGAATCCCCAAATTGTTGTACCGCCGAAGATGGTATAAGTGGGAATAGCGTCAGTAGTGAACAATGGTGTATTTGCTTCAATTGTATGCACAAGGCGGAAAAAACAGTCAACGCACCTGTCGGCAGGTAAATAACTTTTAATTTCATTTGGTAAATGTACATTTCATCAAAGTGATTATCAATTTTCAACTTCAATTTAAATCGATAGAATTGTACAGTATAGCAATTTTGTATTTAAAACTTATCTACGACGAAATTCTACAAATTTAAAACTATATTATTATGTCCACAAATCAAAAATAAATAGTTATTTACTATTTAGCGTCATACGAGTATGTATTTTAAATATTTCTGACAAATTTTGAAAAAAAAAGTTTTTTAAAAATTTAAAATCTCACCTCACCCCATTTTCTTTTAACTACATGTAAATGCTCTTAGACTAAATCCTCATTTTAAAAAATGCCTCCCTTCAATGACATTTTAATGTTCAGCCCTGACCAATGTTCACTGCTTTCAGAATTCCTGAAGCCATGGAAATTGGAGAGAGGCCATTCGGACGCTTGACAGAGGAACTAACGAGGAAGCGAAACCAGGTGGCTCAAGGAATATGTCGACAAAGGTGTCGGTCCTACAAAAAGGATTTAGACTTTGCCAAAAATAAGATAAAAGCAAATACTGTAGACAATATACTAAATCATTACTCTCTCCTAAAAGAGGCAGAGACAATCGAAAACGAAAAATTGGACAAAAATACCCAAGAAGTTTCCAACAGAAATTCTCTCAGAAGACCTGATATCCCAACAATTAGTTTACGGAAAAGCGAGGAATTTGCAAAGGTAACGACAACAAAATCATCACACTACAGGACCACAAATAAACCTCGTCTTAAACGGAGTGCTACATTCGTTCTTGAAGATTTGCCATCCCAGTCAAACACAAACAAATGCAATAGTTCAAAAGAACAAAAAGCTTTCAAAGTAACTAGGAGTAGGATAAACTTGTTGGAAGAAAAGAGTGAAGAATCTGATAAAAAGACACAGGGAGTCAAACCAACATCGTCCTCTAGTCCCCGGCGTCACGTTATGCCAAGGCTGCATGGAAGTGCTCCGAATCCAAATCCGTCTGGGAAGGAAAGCGAGGAAAGCAACGAACAATATCAGCCACAAACAGAAAGAAGCAGTACAAGAATGCAGAACTCAAAGACGAACAAACAGGCAGATTGTGAAGATAAAAGTGTCAGCAAAAGTGTTTCTGAAGTAGAAGCTGAATATTTTCTTAAGCGGATTAATAGACTGTTTACAGCGTCGGAAACAGACAAGGAAGTTGAAAAGCAAGTGGACCATCGTCCCCAGACTTGTCTACTTCCTCCACAGAGTTTGGCATCCTCACGCACGCGCAGTTTCCTTCAAAACACTGTCTCTAAATACAAGTGGGTGTTTATCCCTGGTGTTACCTACTACGACCTGGACAAGCAGCTTCTTTCAAAGCAGCGAGAAAGAGAAAAAGTTAAAGTCCGACAGTTCGAACTCGATACAATCCAAGCTGATTTACGCCGGAAGGAAACTAACATCAGGAGACTGGTGCGCAGAAGCACCAGCATCAGAGAAGAAATGAGTCACGTGACCACTGGACGACCTCCAAGATGAAATCTTTTTTATTGTTCTTTGCTTTATAATTTGTGTATTGTTGATTATTAAGTTTGTATTTACAAAGAAACCTATCTTTCATAGTAAATACAATGCGTTGTGTCTATTGTACACTTTCTTGGATATTCGGAATGGCACATGAATAGGAAATTGACAGCGACCATATATTTAACAAATTCTGCTAAAAGACAAATACTGATAAAATGATTCTTTGTTTAATGAATATGTATTACTTAATATGAATAATATATATACATATATATATAACAATAAAATACATGTATGTATAACCTTTGATGTTCATCTACAAGTCATGAACACAGTCTGAAGTCATGAAATTAACCAAATAAATTCTCGTGCACAAATTGTCCTTTTATTACATTGTACACGTATCTAAAAGTATATTTCATTTGATGTGTGAATTGTTTTTTAAATGGTCATAACAGGTATATTAATCCGCTTACATAATACAAACTATAACAGGTCATGGATTAGACAAATTAAGAGGATTTTGTGTTTTGTCCACTCCGGGGAGATTTTCTACGTAGAGTTTTATTTCTCTACTCTTAAGTAGAAGCATCTTGGTGTTCTTTTTATGTTTGGCAGTGTCGGCATTAATGGTCGCTAACTCTTGTCTGCTTATCTTTTCCTTTCTTCTCTGTCTGTTTTCCAAGACCGGTGCTGTTTCAGGTCTAAGCAAAGATCGGTACTTGCCTGAATATTTTTGAATAAAAGTTTTAGTCCTCAGTTCGGCTTCTCCTGTTTTGGAGTCGACTCTTCTGTACGGTGGGCGGCCGATGTCCTTAATAACTTTAAGGTCTTTTGAATACTGGTCATTATCCTGGAGGTCCCACTTTCTGATTATACTGGCCACTCGCCGATTCCAGTACTCGGACAGCTCGTCATCGGGCCGCCGTTGCCGATATCTGTCAGCTGTTTTTGGTCGAGCAAAAGCATTCAATGATTCTGGCTCCGGACTTGCAGCTGGCACTTCCTCCGCCAATTTGGATACACTTTCCCTTCTTACAGCAGACGGTTTTCTTTCGCTGTTTTTTCTAAGACTGAGCTGCCATAGTTTTAGGTTACTTCCTGAAGTCGTGTTGGGAGGCTCAACATTTGCAGAACATGGTCTAGAATCGTTTTCTTTTTGATTGGAGCCACACGAACTCGTAATAGAGCATCTCCTTTTAGACCTATCAGCACTGGAGACTCTTTGAATGTCAGGAGCACTGGACACAGAATCTGCTTTATCAGTACAAAGAGCAGGACTTGCGGAAGAGGGTCGATTTCTTAATCCCTTAGGATCTGCACTTCCTTTTCGAGTTCGAACAGATGCTGTCATGGGCCGCCCCCGGGTCACCTTCGTTTCCGGTTTTGGGGGTTCGTATTCATTCTCTATTTCGTAGTAAAACACGGGTAGCTTCCCCTCTTTCTGGATACGTTTTTCCTTTTCTTCCTCCTCTTTCCGTTTTTTCTGTTGTTCAAACGACTCAGCCTCCTGCAGCAAGTAGTATATGGCGTGAACACACTTCTCCTCTGTGACTTGGATCCGCCTCTGTGTTGACTTCCGTTCCTTTTCTAGTCGGTTGTAGAGACGCTCGTACTGCTTCTGTAACAAAGCATTCTTTCCAAACGCTTGGGGTTGACTAGACTTTAGTTGTTTTCGTACAGGCATTTTTGGCTGAAAAACATTCATTTTGATTTGAAAACGAAGTCTGCTTTAAGACGTGGAACAAGACTATAAGGTATAGCAACCAGCGAAATCTGAACAGAAAAGGTTCTCTATTCACCACAATATCATTGTTAATTGAAAGAAACGTAATATTTAACTGGATTAATTTTACATTATCCGTCTAATTTAATTGGAATTAAGTTAAATTAAGGAATTAAAATTGAATTTTCCTTATTTTATTTTTTCTGACTCCAGGGCCTGTACACATACATAGGATTACTGAGTAATCAGACAATATATCGACTTGTGGAACTAAGACACTCAAAACAAAAAAACAAAACAAAACAAAAAAATAAACAAACAAACAAAAACAAAAAGTCGCAAATTCATATTTAAGTACACTGAACTTGATATTTTGCGTTTATATATGCAGGGAATGTATTTAATTATAACAATTTCGTGCATTTAATTTCAATTTATGTATATTAAGTACTGTAAGAAAGAACTATCCATTGTTTTTCTTCGGAAAATTAATGAAAATAATTTCAAAAGTATTCCAAAAAAGTTTTAATTCACATACCTTAAAGATACAGCCATGTCAGGTTGTTACAATTCCTCAGTTATTAGACTTTGAAGAGGTTTTAAAATATAAAGAGCACCATCTCTACTGTAAACGACTTAATCACCTGAGGGTTAACGCGTTTTATGTCATTTTATAATCCGATTTAGCCTTAAATTTCAAAAGCGATTAACTACTGATTGTAGTCCAACTTCTTGGTCACTGAAATGCAGGGATAAACAAAATCAGTTTATCTTTTGCATTTTCAATCACCAAGATTCTACTAAAGAGATTCGTATGTAGTTTCCTCGCACTCGTCAACTGCGTAATTTGTGACGTCATAATTAGAACCGGAAAAACGTGAGCACTCGTGAGTGACGAATGTCGTCTTCAGTAATAACTTTAATTAAATAATAAACTGACAAGAAAGTATTGGGCCTTATTATTAGTCCTTTACCGGTATAACCGTAGGGGACTATAGGTTTCCTCCTCGTCGGTCTTGTCTGTCAGTCTGTTCCACCTGGTTTTCCGCACTTTTCCCGTAAATATAGAAGCATATATGTATAGATATAAATGCAGATATTGAGTTGATTTTTTTGGTATTTGAGTCTACCTTAATGTGTATTTTTTCCGCTTTAATAACAATTTTTTGACGGAATTACAGTCTTTTTAATTATTAAAGGGAACCAGATAACACTTGCCGGAGGGGACTAGTATTGCTTATGCGATATTCCGAGAATGTTTGTTCTTATGAAATTCTTAGCTGTGTATTTCTGCAACAGATTTTTTCATATATTAGTGTAAGAATATGAAAGACATTGCCACGGTGGCCATGATTTAAACTTAAATCTGCACTACCTGAGAATGCTTGCAAATGAATATTATTAGGCATGTTCTTGGTGTTTTTTCTTTCCATATACATGTATATATTCCAATGTAAAAGAAGTCCCCCCCCCCCGTTCAGCAATTTGAATATAGATAAATGTCTCTATCAGGTATGGCCTATAAACTTAGTAGCTGAGTCCCTGTCTCTCTCTATATATTTGTGAAATTATGCGCATAACAGGAAGTGGTTTTTTTCCCATAGAAAAATGGTGAACAGGTACTTTTTGAACTGATATAACTCACTGAACTTGGAAGAGGTTGTTGGTGGCTGTATCTCCGGGCAGTCAATACAGACCAAACCACAAAAAAAAAAAAAAAAAAAAAAAAAACAAAACAAAACATGTAGTTACGTAGCAACATTGCAAGCATCAAGCCCCCCCCCCCCCAAGGCCCCCTGCGGGCCCGAAATAATAGTCAGTGAATACTGAGTTAAGAGAATAGGGAAAATTTTCATTAGATTCTATGATTTAGCAAACAAAAAACAATTTTAATTTTTTAATTAGTTATTTACTAGATACAATATACATTAAAAGTTTTAAGACAAAATTTGACCTATTTTCTGATAATTAACCTAAATACATATATACATATTCTGAACATAGGGGTTTGTCTTCCGGATTGTTAAATGTAAAATAAATTAATAAAATTTTTTGAATTTTTTAATGTACGTTAAATACACTTAAAAGTTGTTAAAATAAAGATTCTGACACAAGTCATATATGCCGTATTTTTATAAGTTCAGACTAACTAAAATAAAAAAAGATCTTTTTATTTGATTTGTTATTTTATATAAAGATAGAACTTTCCTGTAAATTACACAATTTAAATCAATCACCTTTCAAAGATATTAGACATATAAAAAAAAATAGGTTGTTCCGATTTATTTACCGTTTAAGTCAATTTAACTATGGAAACATGAAGTTATTCAAGTTCAAAATCGGTGAAGAATTTAATTTTAACGTAAAAAAAACCCCCATATATCATGTTTATCTACACACAATCTAGCTCGTATTTTTATTTTTTAGCTCAGATATGCCATATATAGCTTTAAGGACATACGCAACGTAGTTTGAACTTTATTGTCTTTTTCCCTGTAGTTGAAGAGTTCCAATACTTAAAGGAACTTTTTGCTACATTTTATTGTCTATATATGCTGTTGTACACTTCTTCTAAAACAAGTTTGGATAAACAAAACATCTAGAATGTATGTTTAGTAATTTTTGTATATTTTTCTTTGAATTATACAAGAATTTTCATCAATTGATATCTTTTCAAAACCCCTGGTAATGCATGCTGTTTTTTTGTCTACGAACATCTAATGGCACTATAATCTTAAATTAAGAAGATCTTGAAAAATTATCAGTAGGTAAGGTACGTTGCGTATATGTCCTTACCAATACGGAAGACAAGCCTCTATGATTCTGAAGGAGAATGTACACGCACACCTGTCATGTTCTAATTTTTTGAATTTACGGGTGGGAGTAAATACAAAATTTAGAACACCCTTTAAATTCAGAACCTAGAACATGGCTTAACCATGTGATTCACTTCGATAGAAAAGAACTCTAGGCCTATAAGTCACAGTAATTTGGCAGAATTGTACCTCTTTTTCTACATGTTCTATGGTAATGTAATTTAAAATAATGCTATCTGTTAGATCTTTTACCGCGTATATTTGCCGAAGACAGTTTTTTTTTACCAAACAATTTCTGTTGCATTAGTTTGAACTTAAACAATGGATTGACAAGAGTACTTCTAAAGTAATTTACATCGGGGTCGGTTTTTTCAAAGCTCGGGTTTGGAACGCCACTTTTGTTTTCAAAATCATGGCAAACAGAGGGAGATTCAAAAATAATTTGATCACACACGATTTTGTGTTTGATG